CATTTAAAAATATTTATTTTTTTCATTCTCAATAAACGAAATTAAATACAATATTTAAATTATTTTAAAGTAAAATATACTCTAGTATTACAATACAAATGTAAGTATCTATTAGTATAGTAATAATTGTATTTTACTTAATTTGGTCATTATGTTTAAGTTTAATATATTCTTGTTAATGTACTCGTAAATTACCATACAAATCGAAACAGAAATTAGTACATCGAGTAAACAATGAGACGAGAGCTTACAATTATTTAGGATATTTGAAACTATTTATACAACATGAGGTTTTAATATATCTGTATATATATATATGACATATGTAGGTATAATACAAGGTAGCATAAATAAAATATGCATAGGCCTTATTGCGGATTCAATTTCTAGGTACTCCATGAGTGATTATAGGGCTCTGGGCTTCTAAAATTTAAATTAATTTTGGATCTCTTTACGGCTACGGACTATTCTATTAATATAAGGCCTTAGTTAACATTTTGCAATGTTAAACGTCTTTTACGCAGATACTACTATAATTACGTACCTATAATGATATTTATAGTTATCTATACTTTTAATAATATAATAGTTTTGATATATTCACAGGTACCTAGTTACAAATAAAATGTATTAATTACGTATTGACAAATGTTAGGTTTTATGTATTATTCAACACACTTTTTTTTATATAATTTATCTATTTTTGTTACTGATATTAACATCATATAAATATAATATTTTTTATTTAAATATTGCAAAACCACGCAAGTTTTGTGATTTTGGAAGCCCAGAGCCTCCCAGATGTAGAGAGAGAATATCTATCAAACTTTACTAATAAGGTAGTAAGGTCATTCATTGGATACCCGTTGTCCACATTAATGCATAAAATAATGGTAAAATAATATAAACTTTTGAAATTACCTGATTTAAAAATTAATGATTTATAAAAACTTTGATTTACCCAGATTTAAAAAATACAAATCACGTAACCAAACTCTACATTTGTTTCAAATATAATTTAATTAAAATTGTTTCCATTTTAATTGTATTTTCATAACATAATATTTTAACTTGTTTACAATACATGGAGATAAGTAAAAGTATACATAGGTACTAGCATTTTTTTTTTTTTTTTTTTTTTGGAGGGGGGGTTAACATATAATATGAAATTATAATACATTTTTCTGTATAAATCATCAGCATAGATGAAATGCAAAAATAAATTATAAGTAACGTGTGAAATAGCAATTATCTAGTTTATAGTTTATGAATCACAAATAATTAGTCCAAAAAGTGGTATGTAATGTAAAAACATAAAAGAGTATTAGTTTTTAGTAAGAATAAAACCAAATTAAACAAATTAATAAAAAAAAAGTCAAAATAAACATAGTTAAGATTTTATATTTAAGTAATTTCTCAATGTAGCAGATCCGATGATCTTATTCAGATTTTTTTCTTATTATTTTTTTATTTTATACGTTTCTGTATAGTAAGAAATAAAACATCACAAAAAAAAAATATATCACAAAATTAAGTATACAGATATTCAGTTATTGATTAAAAGATGTTTTGCAAAATTATATAATATTCCAGTACATAATTTTATATTTTATTACAAATGTAAATTAAATTATTTTATTGTTAGATATATTTATAAATAATAAATTAATATCAATGAATGTATTCAAATAAAAACTTTAAATAAGTATATTTAATATTATTAATTTCATTAAATTCGAGCAGTTATATTATTTTATTTATACACCACACATAAATTATTCTATTTTTATTTTTCTAATTTTTTTTTTTTTTTTGTTCTCTGTAAAAACTTAAAATAAGTTATTTGAAACAAAGATTACTAATAAACAATAGAATTCAGGATACTAATCATCTATGAAGATATAACAATATCGTATTTTTGTATCAAATACAAAATATCAGTAAAGTATAATTGTGTGTTTATACATTATATTTTATACTAGACTTTTATATTTTTGAATGGACATTGAGTTGGTAAATATATTCGAACATATTATATTGGCATTTTTAAAGAGACATTATAAAGTTTTTTTTAGGTATATAAAGTTTATTTTATAAAGCTTACGCCTTAGGGTTTTTTAATACAATAATTTTAGCAGTACAATGAATTTAAAATAACAATACTAATGGTAATACTACCTATATAATAAGTACATAAAAATTTCATTTATTTAATTTGTTCATATGTAAACGTCATATTTAATAACTCACTCGTATTATGGTACTCGTGTCGTTTTATAGGTAATTTTAAATCATACTACTTGAACTATCCTAAAAAAATAATAATATAAATAAAATTATCAATATGTAAAATATTTAATGCCGAACAATTAAATTATATAGTTTTATATTTATGATGACCAAAATTAAAGTTTCGTTTATTTTATTTTATTACATTCAATTGACTTATTAACTTGAAAAAAAAATACTGTTAAAAGATTCAAACGAAATTGAAATTTTGCTTTTAACACTAAACACTCTTTTGAAGTAGTTTATTTTTTTTTTAATGTTATTCACATTAATAGCTTCAATGTCAAAATATATTGAAACGTTTTTCAATGAATGTGTAACTACGTGATTAAATATTAATTTTCTAGTAAATTATTTTAAAATTTTATAACCAAAAGAAATAATAATTAATATTAAAATCTAAAATATATTTTTTATATGATAGAAACAATAAGATTTATTGTTAATAGGATCTGTATATCATTCTGTCGTTTTCTACGGTTCATACTAAGTATCTCATTAATAAATTTAAAAAGTTTCATCCGAAATAATTAGGAATTAAATTGTTGTACCATATTATTCGTACATGTTAACTTTTTCAATGTTAAATCATTATATGTATTAAATCATATGCCAGTTTTACTTTGTAACTAATTTCTTTATGACTTATCTTAATGTAAGCTGACGATGATCCCTGCAGTTATTTTATATTTAATCTAATATGTTATAGATTAACAAAGATCATACTTTGTTCGTTTGATCATATTAATCAATATAACATGCATATTTTCATATTATGGTTGTGAGCAAGTAATCGAAAAACCATCGTACTCAAAGATTTAAAGGTATATTTTAACCACCTAGTCATATTATAGCCTTTAAGTATAGTAAATATTATTTTACAATCAATGTTGATGGTGGCGCCACAGTATAGTTTAATATACGTGCATCCTAGTTTATTGCTTCAGTCTATATGATTTTGAACATAAAACATATTTCTTTTAGTACTTAAAAATCATAAATTTATAATGTTTAAACGGATATTATAAAGCATTGTTAGTAACAATGCTAAATATTGTTGTACATTTTGATGTCAGAGTTGTAAGCGAGTAGTTAAACAATCGTTTTTAATGACCAATGAATTCAATGAGGGTCAAAAATGTCAGTATTGTTTTGTTCGATCAGCTTCCATAATGTCACTAGATTTGTTCTTTCACGAAGTAAAATAAAGAGATATTTCTGTATAAATAAGACATATTATAGATTAAATTTTAATAGGGGCTATAAGATTAGAATAATATGCTATAACTCAAAAAGTGATCCCTAAACTTGAGATTTATGTACATAACTTTTTGAAAATATAATATAATACCTAATATTAATAATGTTCATTCATAATATTGCGTTAGCATTTATACATTATAATTATATTAGCTTTGATTTGAATAAATACTAAATAAAACATAGGTACTTAGTAAAAATTAAAAAAAAATATAATATATAAGCAGTTTTTATTTTAAATAACATAAAGCAGTTTTTTTTTTTTTTAAATTTTAGTTCGAAAAACAAATACGAGTACATACATTATTTGCGGTACAAAAATAAAACGGGATATAATATAGTCTAATCTTTATTTTTCCTTCTCTACACTATAATAACTAACTATTTAGGTACTTTTTTTTTTTTTTAAAGACATATTTTTCGTTTTATTTAAATGAATATTGTTTCATAATAGAAAAATATAATTCACACACACACACACATTTCTCAAGTGGTTCCGTTATATACCAGTGTAATATATTTTTGTTAAATATAAAACTATTGTACCAAAGAAAAAAAAATAAGAGGATAAAGTAAACCATTAAATCAAACATTTAAAAATTATAACTCGATAAATCGTGTATAATATAAAATATTAATGCATACAGTAGTATAAGATATATTTTCTAACTATAACTTTGAGTTAAAATTAAACCTTACAACATTTTTTCAAATTTTTAATGCCTTTTATTTATTCCAACAAAGAAAACTATTGTCTTTTGAGTTTAGCTAAAACAAATTTCAAAGTAAAATTAAACAAAATATTCGTCAAATCAAACTATATAACGTGTAAAGTCAAGTATATTCCAGTTACGTAGTTAATTCAAATAATTTGCTCGTTAATATAATTAGAAGGAAGTTTAATTGGCAAAAAGTCTTATATTATTTTTGCTCGGGTTAGTAATACCCAATGAAGTATTCAGCCTGGTGCCGTCGAAAAGAACAGTGGCACAAGCAGAATGTAAGTTTAACTGAATTATTATGATAAATATAAATTAATGTCTATGAAGAATTAAAAGTACAAAGAGTTTAAGGATTAATCGCTTGGTCCGGGCGCGGAATACGGGAAATGGGTTCGTCTCAAATACGACGTCGACGAAAACACGAATAAAGACGCACGGAATAATTATTATTCGTAAAAAATTCAAATAAGTCCCCAGAATGCGATTGTTTTGGTCGTTTAATTAAGAGGAGTAAAAGCACAAAAGTGTTCATTAAAATGGCAGTGTATTAATCGATAGAGCATTGCCCATTACGGCGGTAGGTAACGAGACAACAGTGAAGGTTAACATTTCGGCAACGGACCGCGTAACGTTTTCTCGGGTACCTAACGAGTACGTGACGGTCCGATAATAATAATATTTTATTCGCTATAACGTCGTGATGTCGACGACGACGAAATGGTTACTCACGTGTGAGGTTTATCATTGTGGTTTAATTAATTGTTTCTTCGCCCGGAGCAGTCGCAATACTGCAGATGGCTGGACGACTGGACCCCGCGGGAACGGACTGCGACGATGGCAATATTTGTCGACAATATAGTTAAGTCGTGTAACGGCACTATCACGCTGTATTATATTATTATGTCACTGCACGACGGGCCGAGGGAAATATTTTGTTTTTCTGGAACAGAAAAGCGGAGTGCCGATGCCGGCGAACGGTGGAGCGAGATCGATTCGACGGACGGTACGATCCGATTGCGACGTGTCTATTTTTATTAGTTGACAAAATTTGAAAACAATTTTTCGTGTAAACGCGACGACGGTATCGTGCGGTTTGGCGGCGATAGCGCGACGGAACGAACGCGGGAAATCGTGCGGACAAAGGCGGACGGCGACTGGTAAACGATACGGAAACGCGGTCGTACCCCGCGAAAAAGCGCTCCAACGCATGACGCTGCCGAAACTCTTTCGCCGCCGATGCCGCCACCGCTGCCAACGTGTTCTCGGTCCGTTCGGCCCCTGACGAGTCCCACGACGATGATGAAGACGACGACGATGGTTCGACCATGGAGTAATAGTAATATATTAATACTATTACTTTATGATATGTCGAAATTGTTATTTCTTCTTTTTCATTGAAACGAACGTTTTATTTTAGTAATGGCAATACAATTATTATAGTGATAACCTCAGTTAAGTACTTCTAACCATTAATAGACATTATTATTATTGTTGGGTGTATTATAATATACAAGTTTAGCGATTATTTTTATTTAATATAATATTGATGACGCGATAGAAAAAATAACAATTAGTTATGGTTGGATAATATTAATTCGGGTACTCAGCACAATTATTGTATTCACAATACAATGCTCTAAAAATGCACTCGATCGTTGTTTTAATTTTTAACAACTTTTGAACCAAAAAACTGTTTTAAAGGATTGCACAATAATTGCAGATCTTTTAGGTGCACTTTTAAAATGAAAAATAATTATTCCCATTTTATTTTTCATTGCCACTTGTAATCTCGATTTTACGTCGTATGGATATATTGAAAAATGATGATTAATAATATTTAATATTCTAAGTACATTACAAAGTTATTGAAAAGTAAAAATCTTTAAATTTCAGTGTCATATTCCCAACAATCCCTAAAAATTCTCTAAAAACTATCCTTAAAATAATTAAAAACCCTAAAGAAATACAAAATAAAAAATTAATATTCTAAATCAAAAATGCGAGAAACGTATATTTTAGAAAATGAGCATTGAGTAGCTTTTTAAAACAAAGCAAATTACACCGAACTCGAAATCCCGGCTCTGATAATAATACAACGAACTAAAGGAAATATTATATCTTTTTTTTTATATTAGAGGTCACGAAATATGTATTTTCTACGGCTTGGTCATGCATGACTTGGATCTACTACTGGATGTAAATACTAAAAAATTTTAAAAGTTTATCGCAGTACGAACAGTGGTTGACGGTCATTTTTAAATCCTTTATTAATGTATAATACAAGCTCGGACCGGCTTAGGAAATTGGTGAGACCCGAGTCTGCTGCAGTTATTCAACCTAAAGCACATGATATATATATTATATGTTTCTATACCATAATATGTGCTGTAACTGTGTTGCAATTTAACTCAAAGTTATGCATAGATATCACTAATAGTATTTAACTTACCGGTTGAAGTCTTGAAGAGCAAAATACCTAACATTTTGGAATAGTTTTACGCAGTACAAAAACGTTTTTGTACTACCTATCTTTGTTTCCGTTGAGTTTTTTCAGGTATAAAAGTACAAGTCATTAACTATAAATAAGATAACATTTTCTTTATTTTAAAAAGCATGGCAGTTTTAGCTGTAATTTTATAGGATGTGTATAGCCTCATCTTTCAAGAACTTTAGAAAAATAAATAAAAACGTGATGTTAATCAGCTCATTATTTGAATAGTGTCTATCAATAACTTTCTCTCACAACAAGTAAACAATTTTTTTAAAAAAAACATTAATTATTAATTTAGCACATTTATTTGTGACTTAATACTATCATTATACCTATAATAAACATAATAATTACATACATTCGGTAAACATTAAAAATGTTAATAATTACATGGATTTCAATAAAACGCTTATACCAGGATTATTTTACTAGTAAATTTATTTCAAAATAATCATTTTTTTTTTTTTTATTTTAATTATATCAATATTTTTAATACTAAAAATATAAGTATACAATATAATACGACTAGTGTTGAGAACCTTAAATATATTTAATTAATTTTAAAAATTAGTTTAAAACTGTCCGTAAAAACACGGACACTAAAGAGTTTATTTTATGCCGTTGGCAATGGATAGTTTTGAAGTCAGACCGTGCTCGATTCCACTGAAAATAGAATCAATTACAAAATAAAATATCTTTTTCGTGTATGAACAATCGTTAAATTAACTTAAATCGCGTATTATATTAGGCCCGTATTTAAGAATTGGCCAGGGTGAGCCATTCTCCCTCCCTGGTGGAACTTAGGGGCAGTAAATTTGTATGAACTTTTTTTATGTATTAAGCCAGCATAGTTATAGGTTTGAAATTATGCAAAATATATTTTTCTTATATATTGTGATTTTATAGAGATTTTTCAAAAGTTATTTTAGAATATTCTCTCAAATTTTTTTTATACGAACAAATCCTTAGATAACTGATAACAAAATTACGCAGAATGCAGCTTGAAACTTCCATTGTCGTAAAATACAACATAATAATAATAATAATAACAATGAATATGTTTATTTTACTCTTTCGGAATACCTTTTTGATACTGTCCTGAAATTACTATAATATTTCTAAATATTTAACATTAGATGTGCATCTATTATAATGCATCATTCTATTCATTCTAATTTATCCAAAAAATACTAAAAAAGTATATAATAAATTAAAATAAATAACTTTTATCCTTAAACATTACATAATATATTATAAATAATATATTTTAATTATATATTGACATAAAAATGGCTTGGTGTGGCGCGTTGGTTGCTTCCAGTTGCGGAATGCAACTGAGAATAAGTAACGGCCATAGCTACTAGCTCCCGGATGGGTGACCACTCGGGATCATAGTGGTTAAAAACCTAGCCACACATACACGTGTTTGCTATCAACCGTAACAATTGTAAAAATACAACCTACCGTACCAACCTTACCCCCTACCACAGTTCACAACCCCTAAAAATAGCTTATGGCCCTAGTTGCCGGACTTAAGTTCAAATGCTTTTCTTTTAACTATAATTGTAAATAAATTTCTTTCAGATTTAAATTATGGATAATAAGCTCAGTGGCTGTGCTTACCAAAAATTGGATAAAATTGAAAAAAATAGTATAAAAAACATGAAATTTGATGTCTTATTCCAAAGGTTAAATTTGGATAATATTTAAATTTTTGTGTATAATGTTAAAAAATTATTTTCATTGAATAAATATAAATAATACATTTATTTTATATGTAGACATTTTTTTTTTTTTTTTTAAGAACATATTAGGATGTTATAGAAAACAAATGCTTCATATATTTAGTTGCAATATATCATCAATTAATAATATCTACCCTATTTTTAAAAGTAGAATCAGTGGGTAATATCCATTCTGTTGCCAGTAAAATCACATATAATAATAGGTAAATATTTTATGTTAATTTAATATACTGTTGAAAAATAATATTTTTAGATTATTATTATTTTTTTTTTTTTTTTTTAAGCAATAAATATATCATTCAGTAAAATGTGTGAATTTATCATTTATTGAATAATATTAAGTGAAATACTATGTCATATTTTACTTATAGATAATTTATTAAAATTATAGCTGATAAAGTAATATGTACTACAGTTGACGAATTAAAATATTTATCATATTATTCTATTAGCATTAATTTCTATACAAGATATATGTATCATATATTGATTAGTTATCATTTATCATAAGATATGTAAATAGTATTAAAGAACCTGCTGAGTTAATGGAAAATATTGAACACAAACCTGGACCAATAGAAGAAGATATTTTTTCTATATTTAACAAGATTATTATTGATATTCTTAGAAGTCAATCATATTATAATACCGTCAATATGTCTTGTGCTTATTTAAGAGTTAAAATTTGAATTAAGACAATGGCAACAGTTGCTGATTTTGTTCCATATTTCGCTCACTCATCAAACGTTATTTTATAATGTACAGCCAGTTTTTGAAGTAAAGTAAATAACAATAATTTATTAGTTTAAAATGTATATGGTTTTTTACATCATCAACACATAGTTGGTTGATACTAAATCAATATACTGAGTTTATACTAAAAAAAATTTCAGTCAGTAAATAGTTTGCTAAAAATGATACATGCCAGAGTCCTGATAAAAATTGGATAGCTGTAACAAATGAATTGCAAAAACTAGTAATTTTGATAGTGCAAAATCACTTATGCGTTGTAAGAATAAATTGAAAATTTCATATACCTAATAGTAAAAAAAAAAAATACAATATATTTAAATAAATCTCATTTTTATTGTTAAATTATATAATCAGTACACTAATAAAATATATTAAAACATTACAAACAATGTTCAACACCTATAAAAAATTGACTCAAGAAAAATTTAAGAAAATATTCCTAAGTTCAAAACAAAAAAATCGAAAAAAAAAACAGATTGACTAATTTGTAGTTATTAATGATTTAAAATAAATAATTTTTATCTTTTATATGATAATTTGATACATTAATTAATACAAAGAAAAGATGTCTATAATAATTAAATTTCAAAGTATTTATTTATTATGAAAATACAAAAACACAGTCCATTCTAAAATAAAAAATAAAACCGATATAATGTTACGTACAATTTGCAGTTAAGATCTGGACGAATCATTTAATAATGAATGTATATATTTTCAAAGTTTATTTAAAACATAAGAAGATCCACCGACAACTTTACTTCAAATTAATTAATTTATAAAATAAAAATTTATCTGGTTACTACTTTTCCATTCATTAATATATAGAATTACATATGTTTGTAGTTTAACCAAAAAATCATTTTCAGTTTTAAAATGTATCAAAAATTGTCTACGATTTACCATGTACATGATAGATTTAACAGCTTGACAAATGCTTACCATTAAATCGTCAATAACTTGTAAATTAGATTTTAGTGAAATTATAAAAACATTTACTATGATACAGTCAAAGAGAAAAAAATGTTTACCTTTTTTTATTTGAGATTTTATCATAATTTTTAGCTAATAATAAATTAATTTAATTGTTGTGATTTATTTTGATATCTATCATTCTAAAGTTTATTAAAAACATATATATTTAATATAAAT